TAAATGTAATAAGTTCTTAGGGATCCTAAGATGTTAATAAGCAGAAGCTGATAGAGATAACTGTGTGTAAACCTGTGTCCTGCTCCTGTAAAGATACACATCAGGGCTACATAAGAGGGGTTTGTCATTGAAAATGAAGCTTAAATATTAAAAAAATAAAAACTTGTTAGAAAAAAAACTGGCTCCTAACTTTATTAACTGGCACCTAGATTCAAAGTGTACCTGGCAACCCAACGCCTCCACGTCCACAGAGAAGCCCACCTCCCCATGAAGGTGTGCCCCAACCTCACCATCGTATGCTGGGGGATATCACCTGCTATTTGTAATCTACTGGCAGTCCCATGTCACAGACACTTGGGTTTTAGAGGTGGTCTCCTCCAACTACAAGATAGAATTCCAATCCTTTCTGACAGATTGTTTCTTTTTCTCTCCACTTGCATCTTTCCCATCAGTGCCTAGCCAACCTGCACTCTGTAGTTTAGGGGCTCTTGCATCAGTTAGTGATAGCCATGGTTCCAGCCTGTGAAAGGTTCAGGGGCTTTTATTCCGATTTGGTCACAGTCCCCAGGAAGGCAGGTGTCTGCCTGATCTAAAGGCCCTGAATGCCTTTGAAATTACGCAAGTTCCAAATGTCAATGCTGCTCTGTGGCAGCTTCCTTACAAGTGGATCTTCTGGCCTCTTTCAGCATCAAGGATGCTTATTTCCATGTCCCCATCTGCCGCAACCATTAGCAGTTCCTCCACTTCGTGGTGGGAGAACTTCATTGCCAATTCGTAGGCTGTCCTGTGCCTCTTTGGGATAACGATTGTGGGCTATCTGGACGACCTGCTCCTGTGGACGTAGTATTCTTTATTGGATCTGCAATCTTTCCATCATAATCAAGTCATTGGAAAACTTCAGAGCAATGCTCAGTTTTTGCAAGTCAGTCCTTCTTCCCATTCTTTGTATGGAGTAGTGAGACTTATTTGGGACACAAAAAAAACTTTAGAAGCTACGTCTTCATGTCCTTCCCCTAATCTCTCTGTAAACTGTCTTCATCCATTTCTGCAAGAGGGTCTTGGGTGTCATGGCTGACTTGCAAACTAAATGAGCAATTCAGTGGGTTCAGTTGATCATACAGTCACCACATCCTAAAACATATTGAAGAAGAAAAACAATAAAGAAAAGGAGATGAGATTTTCAGCAGTGCTGATATCTCTTCTCAGAACAGGTTAGGCAAAGACATGACTGTTTTTGCCTAATCTGTTCTGAGGAAAGGTATCAGCACCATTGAAAATACCATCTTCTTTTCTTTATTGTGTTCCTTACATGCAACACCACTCCAGGCCTCTACAGCGGTGATTCTACCCAGGGCTGGTTTGCCGATCTTGTTCATTTTGGTGTCGGTAACTCGTGGTGGCTTCCACTCCTTCTGGATCTTCTCTCCTAAGGTTCACACTTTTACCCTGCTTTACAGTTGCTGGCTTTGACAGAATGGCTGTTGAAAGGCATATGCTGAAGGTCTTCTCTGGCTGTCTGTTATATGATGCTTTGAACCTGGAAGTCCAGTTTTCGTTTAATCGATTATCGCACCTGGAAGGCCTACTTCGCCTACTGTGAGTCACTGGGGTTTCTCACCTGGAAAATCTTGGTTGCTCGCATCCTGGCCTTTCTTTATAGGGACATGGTTCATTGCCTGGCTTTGAATACTGCGAAGGGCAGGGTTTCTGCTTTGGCCATTCTTTTTCAACGTTCCTTGGCTTCTCTCTCCTTAGTTGATACTTTTCTCCAAGGGGTTACACAGGTAGTTTCCCCAAGGAACTACAGCTGATGTCTCACCGCCACTTCCATGTTTGCAACTGGCGGCTCTCTTTGTAAGTGCACTGTTATATTTCTCATGGCAGTCGTTTTACTGGCATTTGGATGAAGCCTTTTACTCTTTTATGTGAAATCTATACTTTTTATAAATTAGGGTTGCCACCTCATCCCTTTAAAACCAAACACATATGAATTACACAGGTTCTGTAGCTGATTAAGTTGGCAATTAAACTCACTTAGTGCCTTATCTACATTAAAATAGCCTCAGAACCTGTGTATCTAATGTGTTCAGTTTTAAAGAGATGAGGTGGCAACCCTGTTATAAATATACTGCACTACATGTGGGCCCCTGCTTGTGGCTCCCAGACATATCAAGCAAACCTTCTGACTGTCTCCAGTGGTGAGAAGCGGTACAGCAGGATGTCTTTGTGAGAATGGAGCTGGTTGACCACGTGTGAAGGATCCTGTTGCCACAAACGTGCATGTTGCTGCTTTCATCTTGCACATTTAATGTCGGCGAGTGCACTGTAGCTCTGTTGCTCACGTGTGGTAGAGATTTCTATGAGCTGGTGGAAGACACTTTTTCTGCAGTGATATTTATCGCATATTTTGGACTTTTTTTTACATTTGACTTTTTTTATCATTTTTGAATAGTGTGGCTGCTTTTTGCTCATTATGAATGCTGTGTTTATAGCATGTGCTTTAAGCTTGTAATATTCTATATTTGGAGGCCCTGCATTATTTTCTTTGTGAGATTGAAAAATTGTATCCTGCTGAACTGTAAAAGAAAAGAGAAAGTAATGGAGTTAGAGAAATCAAAGTGTCCCCACTACCTGTAATATCCATTCTGAAGCCTAATGGAACAAGAGGTGGTCTTAAACATGTAAGTCCAGACACAACTTTTTTGTTTAATTTTGGAAAGAAGTAAGAACCTTTGTTAGGTTATGCAGGGCTCCATTAGATTTTCCTGCACTAATGGTCATATGGATGTCTACTTTCTCAGTCAGGAGATAAAAATCTAGAAAACCAACAGAGGCTGAAATTAAAAGCTGAGAGAGGGTATAGCCTTCCTCTTTTGTACTTTTTTCTGTCTGGTTTGATCAGATGCTTTTGGGGCAGAGGAAGTACCTGTCCCTTTCCACTGACTCAAAGAGACAGTAGAAAAAAATATGTTAATAAGATAATAATAATAAGAAAAAATTAAAGCACCTTTGTCCACCCATGCTCATTCACAAATGCAAATGCATATAGGTCCTGCCTGTATATGTAAACGGTGATCACATTACACGTGTGCGGTATCACCTCGAGCATCAGAGTGAGAGCAATAATGCTGGCAAGAGACTTCCTGCATGCGCAATTTTGAAGCGTGACATGTTATCTATCTATTTACTCGGTGTAATATCATCTTGTTACAAAAAAAAAAGGTATTATATTGTGTTTGTGTGCACTACGATTCATTAAAGTGTATTTTTTCTAAATGTTTGCGTTAAAAAATGGCTGCGCAAATATCGTGTGACATTGTGTGAAAGGTATAATTCACTACACTAAGTAGTTGCGATAATATGCACAGTTTTATGAACAGGTTAGGATTTGCTTTACCCTGCGTCATAAGGGATGTTAAAGTGTTACTAAACCCAGGACCCTGCATTCACTATATCTGGTCTCCCACAGTACACCCAACATGGAAGTGTAATTATTTTAGTAAATATAAACTGCTAAATACCTTTTCTCATCAACAGTTAGAGTAGTCTTGTGACTTCTATCAGTGTCCAGCCCACCACTAGCTAAAGCTTGTAGGAGTTTTCTTTGTGCTCTAGGAGGATGCAGATCCCCTGACCTCTGTCTGGACAGTGCTGATTGGCCCTGTGCTGATCACATGCACTCTCCTAAGAAAAAAAAAAAACCTCTAGCACTACACACCAAACTGAGCATGTGCATGCCTATGGTTCAGTCTGGAGATAAGAGGTGGTCACTTGAAGAAGGGGAGGAACAGAGAAGAAAGGATCAAACAGCCTTTTTACACAATGCAGAGGATTACCCCTTAGGTTCCACAGTGAGTATAACAAGCATGCTTTACTGCATATACAGACTGCTTTTACTGTTGTGGGTTTAGTAACACTTTAAAACCCCTGATAATAAGGTGATTGCAGACTAGTGGTTAAATCTTTGAGACACAGGATTCCAATTGTTAGTGCCACTACGCCCTAGGTCAATAGTGACATGATATGTAACCACTTTAAGACTGCCCTATAGCAGGTGTACTGCTACAGGGTGGCTGCTCTGTTCAAAATTACATAAATATACGTGATTTAGCATTTCCAGGTAGGGGGCGCATGCGTGATGCCCTATCCATGCTGTTATTGGCTCCTGTCAATGTCAATCACTGAGTCCCGGCCAAAGATTCATGGATGGGACTCGGTAACCGTCGGAGCAGCTGACAGGGGAGAGATCTGAGTATAAACAACATAGATCTCTCTCCTGTCAGTGGGGACATGCTGATTTCTATCTCTCTGCAAAGTGCGTCCCCTAGTAAAACAGCACACTGTTAACTCTCTTTGATCGCCCCAGATGTTAACCTCTTCCTGCCCAGTGTCATTAGTACAGTGATAAATGCTTTTTATTAACACTGATCTCTGTATTCGTATCACTGGAGATGTCAGTGGCAGTTAGTCAGTTCCCACCCAGTGTCAGAATGCCCGCAGTCCTGCATTCCTGCTATAAGTTGCTGATCGCCACCATTACTAGTATAAATAAATAAATAAAAAATTCAAGTATTTATACTGCCATTTGTAGACGCTTTAACTTTCACGCAAACCAATTAATATACACTTATGGGATTTTTTTTTACCAAAGACATGTAGCAGAATACATTTTGGACAAAATTTATGAAGAAATTTTTTGTATTTTTCATGCCGTATGTTTATAGCAAAAAATATTGTTTTGGTTTTCTTTACATTTTCGGTCTTTTTTAATTTATAGTGCAAAAACTAGAAATCCCAGTGATGATCAAATACCAGCAAAAGAAAGCTCTATTTATCTGAAAAATATTATATAAATTTCATTTGTGTACAGTGTTGCATGAACGTGCAATTGACAGTTAAAATAGCGGAGCGCTGTATAGCAAAAAATGGCCTGGCCATGAAGGGGGTTATATCTTCCGGAGGCCAAGCGGTTAATCGTATTGTATAATTCTATTTTTCAGCTGGATGTTCTATGCAATGGCGAGATTATGGGGAAGGACCATACAATGGAGTTCATATACATGACAAGGTGGCGGCTGAGGGGTGAAAATGTAATTACATTCATACTTTTTTTTACATGTTTGTTACTGTTAGATTTGCTGATCCTTCTAGTAATGTTGGCCATAGATGGCTGAACCAATTTCTTAATTTCAATCCTTTTGTGGTTGTGCCTGTTCAACAGAAGAGGATTGTTAGATCTGCTTCTGTTGAAAGGGCTTGGAAATGTATTCTCGATAAGATGGCTGCAGTCGCTGATCAGTGAATTCTGACAATAGAGAGTCCTGCTGTCAGAATACAATGTCCCAGTGGGAAGGATTTCTTTGTTCATATTGATTATGTAGATCGAGGAATCTTTTCTTTTTCTCCCTTCATCCCACTGGCTGAACGAAAAAATAATAATTTATGGCCAGCTTAACACACCTCTCTCTCCCCAGAACAGCGGGGGTGTTTTGTATTCCTCATTCCTGAGAACAATGTAACTGATAAAATTGCAGCACAGGCAAAGCATGCAGGAATTTATCTCATAAGATTTTTGGGGGGATTAACCACTTGTCGACCGTCCCATAGCCAAAAGACAGCTACAGCGTGGTGGGCTAGTTCTGGGAGGGCGTACATGGATGTCCTCCTATTATTATTATTATTATACAGTATTTATAAAGCGCCAATAGTTCGCTCAGCGCTGTACATTACAAAGGGGGACAGAACAATACCAATACAATGTGATACACGAGGGGTTCGAGGGCCCTGCTCTTTCGAGCTTACAATCTAGGAGGGAGGGGGTGGTGGCACAGGAGGAGATAGCTGTGGGGGATGGGGTGGTAGGAAGAGTGGAGGAGGTCGGCAAGTTAGCAGGGGGTGGGGTAGGCTTCCCTGAAGAGATGGGTTTTCAGGGTGCGCCTAAAGGAGAGAAGAGTAGGTGATAATCTGATGGGTTAGGGCAGGGAGTTCCAGAGGATGGGTGACACCCTGGAGAAGTCCTGGAGGCGGGCATGGGAGGAGGAGACCAGGGAACTAGAGAGAAGGAGGTCTTGTGAGGAGCGGAGTGTGCGTGCTGGGCGGTACTTGGATATTAGGTCGGTGATGTAGTTCGGGGCAGTATGGTGGACAGCTTTGTACGTCAGCGTTAGGATTTTGAATTTGATCCGTTGCGCAATCGGAAGCCAGTGGAGGGATTGGCAGGGGGGGGGTGGCGGAGACAGAGCGGTTAGAAAGGTGAATGAGTCTGGCAGCCGTATTCAGGATGGACTGAAGCGGGGATAGCCAGCGGCGAGGCAGGCCAGTGAGGAGGGAGTTGCAGTAGTCGAGTCGTGATATGATGAGAGAATGGATGAGCTGTTTAGTGGTTTCTGGGGTTAGGAACGTGCGGATTTTGGCGATGTTGTGGAGGTGGAGTCTGCACGAGTTTGTTAAAGATTGGACTTGGGGCTGGAAGGATAGGTTGGAGTCCAGAATGACACCCAGTACTCTGGCCTGCAGGGCGGGTTTGATGGTAGCGTTGTTGGATGTGACGGAGAAATCAATGGGGGGTGGTGTCCGGGCTGGGGGGAAGACAAGAAACTCGGTTTTGGAGAGGTTCAATTTAAGGAAGTGGAGCGACATCCAGTCTGATATGTCGCTCAGTAGGTGTGTGATTCGGGCTGAGACCAAGGGGGTGAGGTGGGGGGTTGAGAGATAGATTTGTGTGTGTCGTCGGCATAGAGGTGGTAGTTGAAGCCGTGAGAGTGTATGAGTTGGCCAAGGGAGGAGGTATAGATGGAGAAGAGAAGGGGCCCAAGGACAGAGCCTTGAGGGACCCCAACAGAGAGGGGGAGTGAGGGGGAGGTGGTAGCATTATAGGTAACGCTGAAGGAGCGTTGTGACAGGTAGGATGAGAGCCAGGAGAGAGCAGAGTCTCTGAGGCCGAGGGAGTGTAGTTTTTTGAGGAGGAGGGGGGGTGGTCGACCGTGTCGAAGGCCGCAGAGAGGTCAAGAAGTAGGAGCACTGAATAGTGGCCATTAGCTTTGGCGGTTAGCAGGTCGTTGGAGAGTTTGAGTAAGGCGGTTTTCGGTGGAGTGTAGGGGACGGAAGCCGGACTGTAGGGGATCGAGGAGGTTGTTGTCGTTGAGGTGAGAGCATAGGCGGGTGTAGACTAGGCGCTCGAGGAAATTATATGTAAATGGGAGCAGGGAGATGGGTCTGAGGTTGTTCGGGTCATTGGGGTCCAGGGAGGGCTTTTTAAGTATGGGGGTGATGTGTGCATGTTTCAGAGAGGAGGGGAAAGTGCCTGAGGAGAGGGAGAGATTGAAGATGTGGGTGAGGGAGCATAGGATGGAGGAGGAGGAAGGACGTAGGATTTGATAGGGGATAGGGTCGAGGGGCAGGTGGTGAGGCGGGCATCAGAGAGGATCTTGGAGACTTCCTCGATGGTAGTAAGGTCAAAGGTGCGGAGTGTGGGGGGAGCTTCGGTATGAGGAATGTAGGGTGGGGTGGAAGAGGAGGTCAGAGCAGTGGTGGGGCCATGGGAGAGGGGTGATGAGGGGGTAGCTGAGTGAGGGTGAAGGGGGTTGGAGAGAGTTTGAGCAGCGACGAAGTCCCTGCGGGTTATGTCGAGGGGGAGGGGGGATAAGGGGGTAGCTGTGTGAGAGGGGACGGGTTGAGAGGGTGTGTGAGTTGCGGCAATGTCCTTGCGAATTGTGTCAATCTTGTTTTTGAAGTGATTGGCAATCTCAAGGGCAGTGAGTGATGTGCTGGGTGGAGGGGGGGGGTGGAGAGAGTAGAGAGTTGAAGGCAGAGAAGAGTCGGCGAGGATTTGAGGAGAGGGCCTTGATGAGGGTCAAGAAGTAGGCCTGTTTGGCAGCATGGAGGGAGGAGGTGTAGGTGTGGAAGGCAGATTTGTAGCGGGTGAAGGCTTGTTGGGATTTGGTTTTGCGCCATAGTCGCTCCAGGGCACGACTTTGTCGTTTGAGGGTTTTGGTGTGATCAGTCTGCCAGGGCTGGAGCGGTCGGGGTCTGATGTTGCGTGTGGTTAAAGGCGCTAGTGAGTCAAGGGCTGTTGAGAGTGCATTGTTGTAGGCGGTCAAAGCCAAGTCGGGGCAGGACAGGGGGAGGATGCGGTCGTGGAGTTGATCAGCTGCAGAGTGGAGGGAGGCAGGGTTAAGGTTGCGGAGGTTACGGCTGGGTAGTAGTGTGACATTTGGAGGGGTAGGCATTGGAGGACGAGGAGATAGAGAAGGTGATCAGGTTGTGGTCAGAGAGAGGGAAGGGGGTGTTAGTGAGGTTGTGGGAGCACAGCGGTTGGAGAAGACAAGGTCAAGGATATTTCCGTCGGAGTGGGTGGTGGATTGTATGCACTGTGCAAGTGCAAAGGAGAGGTTAGGTGGAGGAGACGGGCTGTGTCTGGGTTGTCGAGGTTGACAGGGATGTTGAAATCCCCAAGGATGATGGTGGGTAGCTCAGAGGAGAGGAAGAAGGGTAGCCAGGAGGAGAAGTCATCCAGGAAGCGGGGTATGGATCCAGGAGGCCGGTATATATCACAGCAATCTTCAGGGGGGTTGGGGAGAATAGTCGGACGCAGTGGGCCTCGAAGGAGGAGAAGGATAGGGAGGGGGGGTTTGGGAGGACTCGGAAGGTGCTCTGCGGTGACAGGAGCAGACCAACCCCACCACCTTTACGACCGTTAGGCCTGGGTGAGTGGGTCCAGGTGAGACCTCCGTAGGAGAGTGCAGCAGGGGAGGTAGAGTCAGTGGGCTGGATCCAGGTTTCCGTGATCGCTAGGAGGTTGAGGGAGCGGGAAACAAAGAGGTCGTGGATGGCGGTAAGCTTGTTGCACACCGATCGGGCGTTCAGGAGTGCACATGAAAACGGGGGGGAGATTTTAGGGAGCAGGGGGACAGATACTAAGTTGCTGGGGTTGCAGTAGGACGTGGAGGCGGGAGGGTTTTGTGCGGGTGAGGGAGGTGGTGGAGGGCCAGGATTCAGGGAGATGTCCCCCGCAGTTATGAGGAGGAGAAGGGTGAGAAAGGTGGCATGGGAGCGGGATGTGCAGGAGCGTGAGAAACTACTAGTGGAGGTGTTGGGGTCAGTGGGAGAGTGGAGTGATAGGAGGAGGTGGTGGGTGCCATAGAGGGGCGAAGGAAGCAGTGAGGACACAATATACAATTGTTTGGGAGGGGCAGAGGGATATAGTGAATGGATTTTGGGAATGGAGGAGAGGAAAAATGAGAAGGAGGAGTGGAAGAGGCATTTTGGGGAGTGAAGAGAGCAATAGTAGGGATATGATAGCAGTGAGGGTGAGATGTACAGGTTGTGGGTGTGGAGCAGAGGGGTAAAGAAATGAGATTTGGGAACAGAGGATAGTAATATGAGAAGGAGAAGAGGGGTGTATTATATAAAGGTACACGGAGTGGGTCTCAGGTATGTAAGATGTTTCCCAGGGTGTTTGCTTGCAGTCTTCCAGCATGCAGTAGAGCTTCTTGCTGTTGTGTCTTCCTGCTGCTTAAGTTTCTCCTGCTTTAGTTCAACTGCTGTGTTTAACTGCTTCTTCTATGCACTCCTTCTAAGCCGCACTCACTCTGAAGCAGCACCCCCATCAGAGACTGTGCCCCCCAGGGCATGCATCAGGTGCAATCTGTGTTCACGGTAAAGGGCAAATCAGAGTGGCCCTTTACCATGTGATCAGCTGTATCCAATTACAGCTGATCACAGTGTAAAAAATAAATGCCGGTTATCGGCAGTCATCTCCTCACACTGACAGCATGTGAGGAGAGCTGGTAAGTGGTGATCTACACAGGGGACATCTACACTGACAATCAGTGCAACCCCATCAGTGCTGGCTGTCAGTGCCCCTCAATGCTAGCTATCAGTGCCCATCAGTGATGCCTGTCGGTGCCCATCAGTGCTGCCTGTCAGCGCCCACCAGTGCCGCATATCATGCAGCCTATCAGTGCCACCTCATCAGTGCCCATCAGTGCAGCCCCATCAGTGCTGGCTGTCAGTGCCTCTCAATGCTAGCTATCAGTGCCCATCAGTGCTGCCTATCAGCGCTGCCTATCAGCGCCCACCAGTGCCGCATATCATGCAGCCTATCAGTGCCACCTCACCAGTGCCCATCAGTGCAGCCTCATCAGCGCACGAGTGAAGGAGAAAATCACTTATTTACAAAACATAATAACAGAAACTAAGAAAACTGTTTTCAAAAATGTTGGTCTTTTTTTTTTTTGTCAAACAAAAAATCCAGTGGTGATTAAATACCTCCAAAAGAAAACTCTATTTGACTAAAAAATGATAACAATTTTGTTTGGGTACAGTGTTGCATGAGTGCGCAATTGTCATTCAAAGTGCGACAGCTCTGAAAGCTGAAAAGGGTTAAAGTGCTTGGCAAGTATTTAAAGTGGTTTTTGCTTGAAACTGGTTGTAAACCCTCACATATATCCAGTGAGATGAAACAAATCCTCCCACATAGCTGTATCTGTTTATCTGCAACCGTCTGTCCTCTACATCCATGCAAAGTGCAGAATTTACACAGGATCTCACAGCTCTAAAAAGCTCTAAAAAGCAGGGGGTGGAGAGCTGAAGTTACATCAGTATGGGGAGCACTGAGAGCTAATTGGAGAGTAGGGAAACACATTCCTTTAAACGGCACACAGGAACAGAGCTGAGGCTGTCAATCACAGGTTGGGCCCTCCCCTGTCACCATTTTTTTCTTGGTGTCAGGAAGACTTGTCAGACGTGACTCATGTCTAGCAAAGGAACAAGGCAGTGGACAGAAATGACACTTAGTGCTCTGGATTGAGACAAGTACACACTATAGAGGGATATACTTTGTTCATATTTCATGTCTGAGGTTTACAACCACTTTAATGCATTCTCTGCTTTTAAGGTAAAAAAAAAAACACTTCCACTGCCTGTCCACCCCCGCAAACACTTACCTAAGCCCTTTCCAGCGATGTGCACTAGAGCAGAAGCTCTCCTGGGTCTCTGCCTCCTCATTGGCTGAAACACACAGTGGGGGCTGAGCTGCACGCTGTGTGCCTCATAGCCACACAGAGGCAGCACGGGAGCAAGCACAAACACGTGCCCCCCAGAGCAAGCAGCTTGCTTTGGAGGCACTCAGCAGGGGGGAGCGGCCTGGAGTGCTGGTAAGGGACCTAAGAAGAGGAGGATTGAGGCCGCTCTGTGCAAAACCATCGTACAGAGCAGGTAAGTATAACATATTTGTTATATTAAAAAAAATGAAACGATCACTTCATATCTATTAATGCAGTTTAGTAAGCCTAAGGACTCGAGGTTTGTGGAAATGAGAACTTATTTGTATTTTCATGCAATGTGTTCTCTTTTGTTTATTGTAGTCTTATCCAATGGTATTGCAATATCGACCAAGAATTGACTTTGGTTAATTGGTCAGAACACACTGAGAACAAAACTTCTGCACTGTGTTTACTCATCGACAGATTGCACAATGAATGGATGTGCCTAATTACATGGACTAAAAGGACACCATCGATTTTCAGCATGCAAATATGGATGTGGTCTCTTTCTCTCCAGTTTGCCAGTAGTTTCTTCCTAGTTTATTGTTCAGAATTGAAGTGCCAGTCTGTTCCACAGCCTCTGACTTCTAGGTGTGCTACCTACATGCTGCAAATCCCAGATTTTCAAAGTGGCTGTATTACTGTTCTGCTGTGTTTATTGCTTAACAGCAGTGTTTGTTCATTACACGTAACTATTATCTGGTCTGCACTGTAAAGGTTGTCTTTGCAAACATTTAACTGACAAAGTAACAAACACTTGCATTAGGAAGCCAACATTTATTTGTACTGAATGTCCTAAAGACTGTTATATTATTGGACGGGATTTGCCAGCTGCTTAGATGCTGCTGCCTTCTGCTTTTTTTTTTCTAGGTGTTTTCAATTTAAAAATGGCAATAAATACATGCTGGTCAATATTGTCTCAAACTCCATTCAGATAAAATGCTTAAAGCAGTATTAAACCCAAAAGCAAACACTTATTATATTGTAGTTTACCAAGTCTTAGATGTGATGACTGCATTCGTTTTCTTTTTTAGGTTTTCTTTCCCTTTTTTACCCAATGATCTGGGCCTGTACATTTGCGGTTTTTCAATAGAGCAAGCTGTCCTGCAGACGTAGCAGATAGAGGGTTGAGGTGAACCATTTAACACTGACAACAATGATTGCTGTTATTTAATTATGTAAAACCTTCATCCCAAAAGGAAAAAAAAAAAACTGTTGCTGTAACTGGTTAAAGGGGAAGTACAGTCAAAGCTCTTTTTGCTGTACTTCTCCTGTGGATCACAGGAGCAGTGGCATCCCGAGGCAGGTGCGGGGGGTGCAGCCCGCACCAGTGACACTTACCACACAGGGTGACACCGGACCCGCTTCACGGAAAGGTAAGTTGTAAAGCAAGCCAACGATCCCCGCAGGATCCATCCTGCACGGATCGTCGGCTTTCTTTACAACTTACCTTTTCGTGGAGCGGGTCCGGTGCCTCCCCGTATAGGTTGCATGCCGACAATCCCCGCCGCAGGATGGATCGGATCTGCAGACTGGGGAGCATAATGGATCAGCTGCTCCCTCCCCCTCCACAGCCCAGCGCTCCAGTGAGCACTGGGGGGCAGAACTGACAGTCTCACTCAGAACTCAGCGATCAGCGGTCATGTGATCACTGCCGGTGGGGGACAGATACAGCATCGTACCGATGCTTCATCCACCTAGGTAAGTATAAATGGCGGAAAAAAAGCCCTACTTCTCTTTTAAGGCTAGGTTGACATAGATGCGGTGCAATTTTCCTGCAGGTTTTAATGCAAATTCAAGTGTTGTTCAGCAATGCAAGTGCATTTCTGATGTGATTTGGCAGCATTCTCAATCAGTCTCTCTTTCTATTTCCCTCTCTCTCTTTCTCTCTCTCTCAACATGGACCAGGGATGGGAGATAGGGAACAAAACACAGATTTTCAGAAAATGTACTGGATTCCTGTTATCTTAGGACAGAAAAGCGATTTCCATTGAAGTCTATGTAGCTATAAATTGCACCGCACTGCACTAAACTCACACAGGACCCTTTTTAAAATCGCATCGGACTTGCACTGCATTTGTGTGAACGGCCCCCATAGAAACTCATGTTATTTCACTTGTCATGCAATTCCATGCATTCTGGAACGCTTCAGAAATTGCATTAGTGTGAACCAGGGTTAAAAAATGTTCAATTTGTTAGTGCAATTAATTATACTACCCCCCCCCCCTCGGCCACCCCAGATTAACAGTGCTGCTGTACAAAAGTCTTTGTTGCTCCTTCATCCAGAGTGTAGGCATTTCTAATACATGAAGGGTGCTTCTGGGCAGATAACCAGGGGAAACAAGAGAGAAAAAAAATCCTCAAAAAAAAAAAAACGAATGCAGCCACCACATAAAAACTTTATTATACTGCAATATATTAAGTTTGGGGTTTAAAACTGCTTTAAACTAAGATGTGTCAGGAAACCCCCAGTAACCCCAAAGCCTACTATCTGTTTGCGTTCATTTATAACCTGAACCATGGACAGGATATCATCTGGTTGGAACACTTACGCTGGCCATACACCAGTAGAATTTAATTTGAAAAAAAAAGATTTTCGAATAGTTGATTGGGGCAAATCATCAGTATGGTTTTTGACCATAGTGACAAAGGAAAATGAAGAAGGGCGGAAATTTTTCTTGAATTAATGAAATTCTCATTGTAAATGTGTTTTGTTTGGGGAAAATTGTACTTGCTGTAAAATGCACATGTGCAACCCGAAATCCAATGTAAAATTTGAAACATTGGCATAGTAATCTAACAAAATTGTATTTGTTTGCATACAAAATTTGTCTTGTCCATGTAGATTGGAAGATCTATATGTGTGGACTACTTGTTTACATGACCAAATCAAACCCATGCCTGTGACCTGTACAGATGTGTGTCGATTGTGCAGAACTCTAATGTACCTGGTGCTTGCAGCGGCTCAAACTAAGATCACTGCAAGTGTCACTAAACATTACCAGTTATGTTAAATAATGGATGTAGTTCACAGCCTGCATGTCCTTTTGATGTGTTCAAATGTAGACACATTGAAGACAGTACAGCCAATGTGTTAAGCATGTCAGATGGGTGGCTTCCGGGCTGCATGCAGCCCTCTTGCCCCTGATTTGTGGCCCTCAATTTATAATTTCAATCCCAACTCCAGGAAAATAAAAAATCCACCCTTGCAGGAATCCTCGCTCTGGTGTTGTCCTCCTAAAGCTCTGGTCTGTAGTCATCACACTCCATAGAAGGACATTAAGCCTGTATGGTACACTGGAGCGTGACCTGAGTTACAGGGGACTCGTTGCAGCGCAGGAGGAATCTGCAAGACTGAGGAGTAGGGTATTTACTCCTTAATCATCTGCCTCTAGACTACATGAGCATTTAACCTGGGGGTGCTCAACCTTTTGAAGAGCATGGCCACTTAAGTGATTTGGTAACTGATTGCAGGCCACAATGAAATGAAATGGTCCCAAATTTGTTATTTTGAGCAGCATAATGAACATTTTCCTTCTGAAGCCACTGAATGCCGGCAGAGTTGGCGGTGGGGGGGTAGAGCAGGAGTAGCTGGCATTTAGCAGTTGCAGGCAGAAAATGGTGAGGTTTGATTCCTGTATATGCTGTCCAGCCCTCCTATCCAAGTGAAACACAATGTGACAGGGAGGCCGCAAGAGCCCCCTGGAGCATGGGGCAGGGTCGCCATTGCAATCCCTGATGCTACACCAGTGGTCGTGGGTGTAATAAACATGTTTCAATTATGGGCTTTTACTGCCCCCCCAAACTGAAAATTTAAATAAGCCTTTTACTGTCCTGAGCCCCCTATAAGGCTGCTTTCACACTGATGCGCTGTGGTTTACCTGCATCACGGGTGCAGAGCAGTGCAGCTGTGGCTTTCCTGTGGGTTAGCTTCTCTTTGCTATAGACCTCTATTATAACTTGCAGATGTGGTGCACTTTGAAAGTGCACGAAAACTTCTGCATTCAGTTTGGGGTTGAAGACCACATCAGAGGACTCAGAGGGCCACAGGTTGAGCACTCCAGATTTAACCCTTGCATTGGGGAAGGGGGGTCTGTAAAGATGGATTTTTTTTATTCATCTGGAGTTGGGTTTTAAAATTAAATGAGGCCCACAATGTGCCCGAGCTCATTATTAAAAGCTGTTCTTCATTATGTTGCAACTCTGTCATTCAAGAAATGTTTTAGTGCCCCTTTTCTTTGGGAAAAAGTTTTGAAAGTGTACCCAAGTGCTACAGTTTGTCTGGAATAAAGTAAGCATGGCCCCCAGGAGAGAAAACAAGGCCACTTGAATATTATTTCCACACAGTATGACCCATAGTTGCATTTCAGTTTGACATGCCTGGGGTATGTGGCCTTACTAATAGTGAACCCAGTCCATTTTCCTGAACTTCTTGGAATGGACAATTTTGTATTCTTGATAGGAAATTTGACAATGTGCCGGTATGTGCAGTGCACTCGTTTTTGGGCACGGCAACGTCAGTGCAGTACTTTTGGGTAAAATCATTTTATCACTAAGTACTTTGAGAGCAGAATGTTTTTGTCACCTGAAAATTTACTAGAAAAAAAAAAAAAAGGCATTGAAACTAATTCTATTTTCTTCCTTTCCTGGTAATCATACAGGGATTTGGAAATGGCAATAAAATGCTTACACGGGTTCTAAACCTTCTCCAAAATTATATATTAAAAAAAAATTGCACTTACGTTTGGAGAAGGTCTAGAGCCTCTGGCAGCTTTAAATTGCTGTCTATGGTTTTGCTGGGGAGATGTCCTCTTTTTCTTGTCATAGTAATTACTATCTCTGTGAATAAGGCACCAATCTATAATGAGCTGACAAAGGTTCTAACCCCATCCCTTACAACAAAACAAAGGGTTTTTAGTGCTGTATGTGTCTTTTTTGGAACAATTTCCCTTTTGTTAACCTATCTCAGGGACTGTCATCACTGGGACAGGAACTAAGAGAAATGATACATAATGGACACCCGCACCAATAAAAACCTACGTTTCCTACCCATCCCTGGTATTAGGAAAAAAAAAAATCTCTTTTGGAGTTCCACTTCATGGGCCCATTCACACCAGTCCACTATGTTGCATTAACTGCATGTGCATTAATTTGCTTTGTGTTAGGGCAGCCCACTAAAAAGCAGGTATGTTGAGTGGAGCAATGGGAAGGTGAGTATGGGTGCCATTCAAAATAAATGGCACTGCAACAGACCAAAGTGTGTGACTGTGTGTTGTCATAATGGGTGCATGATCGCAGTGCACTGGTGTGAATGGGCAACTTTTGTCACTGAACTACATAGAACATATCCTGTAAAACTGGGTATACAC